GAAGGAAGGAAGGAAGGAAGGAAGGAAGGAAGGAAGGAAGGAAGGAATAGCAATAGCACTTAGACTTATATTATATACCACTTTCCAATGCTTTCCAGTCTTCTCTAAATAGTTTACAGAGTTAGCCTCTTGCCCCCAACAATCTGAGTCCTCATTTTACCCACCTCAGAAGGACGGAAGGCTGAGTCAACCTTGAGCTGGTCAGGATCGAACTTCTGGCTGTGAGCAGAGTTAGCCTGCAATACTGCATTCTAACCACTGTGTCACAATGGCACCTAGGAAGGAAGGAAGGAAGGAAGGAAGGAAGGAAGGAAGGAAGGAAGGAAGGAAGGAAGGAAGGAAACAAGCAAGCAAGCAAGCAAGCAAGCAAGCAGTGGTGGAATTCAAATTTTTTTTACTGCTGGTTCTGTGGGCATGGCTTGGTGGGCGTAGCTTGGTGGGCATGGCATACTGTAAAATCCCCATTCCCTCCCCATTCCTGGGGGAAGGTTACTGCAAATTCCCTCCCCACCCCACTAACCTGCTTTCCAGCTCTGTTTTCCTGTGCAGGGCAACCAAAGAAGACCCAGCCAATCAGCTGGGACTCAATGGGAGGCAGAGAAGAGATGGGGGCAGGGCCAGTCAGAGGTGGCATTTGCTGGTTCTCCGAACTACTCAAAATTTCCTCCACTGGTTCTCCAGAACTGGTCCGAACCTGCTGAATACCCACCTCTGGTCCCCACATTCACTACAAGTCCTGGAGTAAAAGCTCTCACAAACACTTTCATCAGTGTCTGGCTGTGAGTAGTCCAATAAGCCAAGTTTAGCCAAACAGGAACCAGGGCCAGCGGTCCAGTAAGCCAGGTGAGCCCAAACAATAACCAGAGCAAGAAGTTCAATGAAGCAGGCAAATTGGGCTAGCGCCACAAGACAGAACACAACAATCTCCAGGCATCGGCAAGTACACTCGAGACTCCACAGATTCCATGCTTCTTCCTGACAAATGCTCCTCCCACCGGTACCTCCTTACACCTCAGTCCCCAGGTGTGCCTTGTGAAGAGGGGCGGGACGCTCTCCTCCCAAGTAGCCAGCTCAGTCTGCGTCGTTCTTGCCTTCTCTCTTCTCTCCATGCTCTCGGATCAGGAGGGGGCGGTCCTTGCTCTTCACCTGAGCTCTGTCTCTCTTACTCCTCCCTCTCTGCAGGCCTTACTAATCCAGAAAAGCCCTGCCCGGATGGACTCTGCCCTTCCCCAGTTTCCTCCAAGGCCAACGGAGCCGCCCTCTCGCTCTCTGTCGGCTCTTGTCCCAGCTCATCTTCCCTCACGGATTCAGACTCTGACAGCTAGGGGGAGGCATGACACTTGGGAGGTTTGAATTCTTCGTGTGATATTTTTTTATTTATTAATTCTTTATTAATGTGGCCTCCCAGCATTTGTGATGTTTTTACAGGCTCTTCCTTGGCTGGAGAAAATCGAGAGTTTAAATAAGGTTGCGATTCTTAATTAGGTGTCAGGGATGCTTTATTCATAGCCTGTAGTTTAGATGAGGACATATGCTAATTATTCCAAGGAGGACTCTCTCTTTTTTTTAATGGTTGTTTTTCATCTCCTCCACGATTTCTTCAGCCATCCAAATGAATAGCCCAAGTGGGGAGGGAGGGGAGAGAGATGTGGGGGAGGTGATTATGAATTATTAAGACTTCTGGATGGGAAATATACTTCTCTCCAGAGTCCATTTGATGTGCATTTTCTTGGCTTCAGGGAAAGCATTTTTATTCATGCAGTTCGACGTACGCAGGGGTGTAATAAAAGCAGCTATATTTCATGGTCATAGGCTCTGCCATCTTGTAATTTCGAGCGCGTTTGTCGAGGATTTTCAAAGCAGAGATTGAGATTTCTAACAACCTCAGGATAAGAGAGTTGGAAGGGACCCTGGAGATCTTCTAGTCTGACCCCTGGCTCAGGCAGGAATTGCTACACCACTTCAGACAAATAGTTGTCCAATCTCTTCTTAAAAACTTCCAATATTGGAGCATTCACAACTTCTGGAGGCAAGTTGTTCCACTGATGAATTGTTCTCACTGTCGGAAAATTCCTCCTTAGTTCTAGGTTGCTTCTCTCCTTGATGAGTTTCCATCCGTTGCTTCTTGTCCTGCCCTCAGGGGCTTTGGGGAATAGCTTGACTCCCTCTTCTTTTCAGGCAACCCCTGAGATATTGGATGCCTGCTATCATGTCACCCCTGGTTCTTCTCTTTATTAAGCTACTAGCTCGATCCCCGTGCTTCGCTACAAAACTATGTGGTTGGGCTTAGTTTCTGGGGAGGAAAATCGGGGGGGGGTGGATTCTGCCTCTGCCTGCCAGCATCCATCGGTATTCATCTGGCTAGCGTCCTGTCGGTGTGTGAGAGAGTGGAGGGCTGTTTGGAAACTGAAACAGCATTTGCTGTGTGAGCAAGAAGGAGGCAGCAAGGAGCCTGGGCGTGGCTTAGCTCAACTGTTCTGTACTAAAGCTGCTTGATGCTGTCAAACTGAAACTGAAACTCCTCTGCTTGTGTTTTGCATTTGGAAGAGATTTCTTTCCAGGCGGGGAAGGGGAGTAGAACTCTTTAGCATCAGAGCATGTTAATAATAATCATATAGGAAATATTAATGCTCTGCGGGTCATTTGGAAAAATCCTTTCTTAGTGAGCCCCTAGAAGCCAAGAGGAACCTAAATGCCAAATTTCAAGTTTGTAAGCTTTATGGTTCTGGAGATTTTGTGATGATGCGTGAGTGGCATTTCGCTTTGATATATATAGAAGAAGAAGATACATACCCAGTTCATAAAACACTGAATAATAGAGTTGGAAGGGACTGTGGAGGTCTTCTAGTCCAACCCCCTGCTTAGACAGGAAATCCTATCCCATTCCAGACAAATGGTTGTCCAATCTCTTCTTCAAAACTTCCAGTGTTGGAGCATCCACAACTTCTGGAGGCAAGTTGTTCCGCTGATTAATTGTACTAACAGTCAGGAAATTCCTCCTTTGTTCTAGTTTGCTTCTCTCCCTGATGAGTTTCCCTCCTTTGCTTCTTGTCCTTGCCTCTGGTGCTTTGGAGAATAGCTTGACCCAGTATACAGAAGACCAGAACTGGAAGGGACCTTGTAGGTCATCTAGTCCAGCCCTCCTGCTCAAGCAGGAGACCCTATACCATTTATGACAAGTGGCTGTCCAGTGTCTTCTTGAAACGCTCTCCCTCTTCTTTGTCACAGTCCCTGAAATGTTGGAAGTCTGCTCTCATGTCAACCCTGGCCCTTCGTTGCATTAGACTAGACATCCCCAATTCCAGCAAGAAGGAATCTGCATTTTAAATATTAAGCCGGGCTAATTAAATCTCTGTGATTTGGGAGCCAAAAGACAAATAGCAAAATCCCCAACACTGCATATCTATTAGAGGAAAATCCACCTTTCTGCTTAATAGAATAGAATAGAATAGAATAGAATAGAATAGAATAGAATAGAATAGAATAGAATAGAATAGAATAGAATAGAATTCTTTCTTGACCAAATGTGATTGGACACAGAAGGAATTTGTCTTGGTGCAAATACTCTCAGTGTCCATAAAAGAAAAAATACATTCATCAAGAATCATAAGGTACAACAGTTAATGATAGTCACAGGGTACAATAAACAATCAAATCAGATAGATAGATAGATAGATAGATAGATAGATAGATAGATAGATAGATAGATAGATAGGAAGGAAAGAAAGAATAGAATAGAGTAGAGTAGAGTAGAGTAGAGTAGAGTAGAGTAGAGTAGAGTAGAGTAGAGTAGAGTAGAATTCTTTTATTGGCCAAGGGTGATTGGACACACAAGGAATTTGTCTTCGGTGCAGATGCTCCCAGTGTACATAAAAGAAAAGATACAATTGTCAAGAATCAAGAATCACAAGGTACAACACTTAATAATAATCATAGGGTACAATAAGCAATCAAATCAAATTAAATCATACTAGGAAACTGTCAATAAAGATCGTAAGGATACAAGCGACAAAGTTACAGTCATACAGTCATAAGTGGGAGGGGATGGGTGGTGAGTGATGAGAAGATTAATAGTGATAGTAGTGCAGACTTTGTAAATAGTTGGACAGTGTTGAGGGAATTATTTGTTCAGCAGAGGGATGGCGTTCGGGGGAAAATTGTCCTTGTGTCTAGTTGTTCTGGTGTGCAGTGCTCTGTAGCATCATTTTGAGGGTAGGAGTTGAAACTGTTTATGTGCAGCATGTGAGGGGTCTGTAGATATTTTCACAGCCCTCTTTTTGACTCATGCAGTAGACAGGTCCTTGATTGAAGACAGGTTGGTAGTAATTGTTTTTTCTGCAGTCCTAATTATCCTCTGAAGTCTGTGTCTGTCCTTTTGGGTTGCAGAACCAAACCAGACAGTTATAGAGGTACAAATGATAGATTCAATAATTCCTCTGTAGAACTGGGTCAGCAGCTCTTAAGAGGGATGCTTAGGAGGGATCGCAATGCAACTTCCTGCTGTCTTGATAGAGGTGAATTACCATGCGGACTACCGTCATGGAACCTGATGCTCCATCCCAACCCCCCCCAAAAAAGGCAAAGATAAAGATCGGCCCACAGGTGTTATGTCACCTTTCTTTCACGCTTTGCTTGAGTTCACTGTAGAAGGATGTTGTCGTAGCAACCGTGTTTCCCTCCTCGGTCGCAGAAAGATGAAGGGGAAGGAGGTCGCCATAGCAACTAACTTACTCCTCCGCTTCAGACCTTGGAACGTCTGAGAAGATAAATTCACCTCACAGGCAGCAGAACCACTTTCTAGGAAGATGGAAATCCCTGTTTTTCTACATCTACTTTTGTCAAAAAGTGAAATGTTTTATTTTTCGGTGGGGGAAATATCTGCCATTTGGAAAAGCAGGGAAGAATCTGGAAGACTTCCCAGAAATTTACCCTTTGACCTTTTTGGGGGGGCGGGGGTTCTTTCATGTCTAATGTCAGAGTTATGGTTCCTCAGTATCCTGCTGCTTTGATGGAAGGAGGAAGACACAGACAAATCTCCAAATGGCCTCAATGACTTTCTCAAAGGATGCAAATGACCAGCTGCCTGCAAGGAGTATAAATCCATCTGTTCCCCACCATCCAGTCAGAGCTGAAGAAGCTTCTTGGAGGAGAAGCGAAACCTCTTCAAAGAAAGTCCAGTTGCTTCTTGAAAAAAGCATCCTGAGGACATAGACAAACCTCCAAGTGGCCTCAAAGACTCTCTAAAAGGATGCAAATGACCAGCTGCCTGCAAGGAGTAAAAATCCTTCCATTCCCCACCATCCAGTCAGAGCTGATGAAGCTTTTTTGAGGAGAAGCAAAACAAAGAAAAACAGGAAAGTCCTGTTGCCTCTTGAAAAAGTACCTCTGGGACAACTGAGGACACAGACAAACCTCCAAGTGGCCTCAACGGCTCTCTGAAAGGATGCAAATGACCAAGGAGTATAAATCCTTCCCTTCCCCACCATCCAGTCAGAGCTGAAGACGCTTCTTGGGATGAGAAATGAAAGGTCTTCAAAGAAAAACAGGAACATCCAATTGTTTCTTGAAAAAAAAAAAACTTTGGGACAACCACAACCTGGATGACTGACAATCTCCATAGACATATGGTACCTATCAGGGCACCACAGAATCATAACTACACATTGAAGTCCAGTTGATCTGATCTATTGATCATGTCTATACACAAGACTCTGGTCAGTCCCCAATTGGCGAGATAGATGATAATAGATGGACATCAAAGATGACCGTTAATGTTAAGTATAGAGAATAATGGAGACCAGACATCTGACCAGTGACTTCAACTCTTTAATAACAGTAAATAGAACAGAACAGAGCAAGGCTATGGGCAGCAGTAACCCTTTTATAGGGTTAGCTGCTACCTTATTAACCAATGAGATGAGCAACAAGTTCAAACTAATAACCAATAAGAATAGTCCAAATAGTGGCCAATCAGGGACTAGTTCTGGCCCAATCCAAAGTTGTTGTATAAGGACCAATCAAGTGTGCAGGTTTTCAAACCCTGATTTGCATTTAAGTTATTAACTTTTATTGATTCACAACAGTTAACGCTTCTTTTTTCTGCTTGAGTGTTCAGGGGCCACACTGAAGTTCTTAGTGATTATACTTGAGGAACGGGGAGAAAACCTCCTTTAATAATACAGTAGTAGTAGTAGTAGTAGTAGTAGTTCCTAGGTCCTTGGTTAGGACTCGAGCTGTTGAGCTACCACCCAGCCCCAAAGGCTGTGAATCTCACTAAAGATTAAATAATAGTAATAGTAATAGCAATAGAACAACAAATCAAACAAATACGTAACGGTAGCCCTTGACTTACAACAGCTCATTTAGTGACCGTTCCAAGTTACAACATCACTGGAAAAGGTGACTTATGACCATTTTTCACATTTACAACCATTGCGGCCTCCCCGTGGTCCCACGATTTACATTCGAATGCTTGACAACAGACTCACATTTATGACCATTGCATATCTACAGATCCCTCACATCCCAGATATAAACTGTTTCAACTCCTTCCCTCAAAACAACGCTATAGAGCACAGCACACCAGAGCAACTAGACACAAGGGGAATTCTTTCCCCAACGCCATCACTCTGCTAAACAAATAATTCCCTCAACACTGTCCAACGATTTACAAAGTCTGCACTACTATTACTGTTAATCTTCTCATCACTCCTTATTACCCATCTCCTCCCACTTGTGACTGTATGACTGTAACTTTGTCGCTTGTATCCTTACGATCTATATTGACTGTTTCCTAGTATGATTTGATTGCTTATTGTACCCTAAGATTATTATTAAGTGTTGTACCTGATATTCTTGACTCTTGATGAATGTATCTTTTCTTTTTATGTACACTGAGAGCATTTGCACCAAAGACAAATTCCTTGTGTGTCCAATCACACTTGGCCAATGAAGAATTCTATTCTATATTTATATGTAAACAATAAAAAATATGTCCCCCCCCCCAAAAAAAATTAAAATACACAGCAGGTGAGGGGGGGAAATGACTTTCATCCACAGACCTAGGAGACGGGTCAGTTTGAGATCTGCCTTGATCCTGGGGCCATTTGCAACTTTCCACACAAAAACCAGGGATGTGGATTTTGTGACACTTGGGGAGGCAAGCAGAGAAGGGGGAGATCAGATAAAAGGAGAACTGGACTGCACTTACCTCAAAGGCTTTGCTTAAGTTGTCGAAAAGGACCTGGCCAGCGCTGACTTTATGCTTCACTCCTCTCACTGTCCCATTCTTGCTGAGGATCTTGATTCGTTTGGAGCCAAACCCTCTTTCTTTGGCGGCCCTCACCAATGCGAGCATCGCATCCATCTCCGTCTCATTCTCGTCGCCTTCGGAGCCAGCCTGTCCGTGGTTCTGTCCGTCTGACTCGCTGAAGCGGCTGTTGGGGTCGCTCTCCGAGCTGGTACACTCTGAATCCAAGGAATCTGATGTTTCTCCATTGGTGTAGACCTCCTTCAGGATGCGCCCGCTGTGAGAAGACGCGATGCGAAATCGGACTTTCCTCGGCTGCCTCTGCCCCTCAACCGGGGTGTTCCCCGTCAACATTGCCCCATCCATTGACAGGAACTGGCTTACATCATCCCGGTCTAGTTTGTCATTAGAGACGCCAGATCCTCACACTTATAACAATATCAAAGTTGGTTTTCCAGTGACAGCAGGATGGCAGATACGAAGCCACCGACTAAAGGAAAGAGGACGCCTGACATGTTAGACGACGGTTCGGCCATGAATTATGGATGTCCCGGTGTGCTATGGTTACCTTTAAACAAACACCTGCAAAATGAGAGCCTCCATTCAATATTAATGACCCAGGAGTGTACTTTTTCTTCAGTGGAAGAAGCGAAATAATTCTGATTCTTTGTTTGTTTGTTGTTTTAAATATCAGATGATGACCCGGGGTGTGGCACAAAGACAATATAGTCAAATAATAAGTAGGAGTCCCTTTATTAGCTCAAACTTTGTCCCCAATGTCCTGGTTACCTTCTGGGCTGGAGGAAAACTCTCCCAGCCTTTGGCTGCAGAGAATCAAGTCCAAAACGTGGCCAACAAAAACTTTAACTATAAGTCCAATCAAGGCAAAATGAGGTAATTAGTCTGACAGGGCAGGAGCAAGAATTCCAGACGTGAAGGAGCAGCAGTAATTCAACATGGTTGGGAGGATTCCAGGAACACAGATAACCACAGTCAACACAAGATAAACTCACGTTTGTTCCCAGCAGACGCTGCTCTCAGCTTCCTCTCCTTTAAACTTTCTTCCCAGGTGTGCCTAATGAAGGGAATCAGGGCCCTTTCCTCCCCTGTAAGCCATGCAACTCACGTTGTCTCTTCTCCGTTCCTCCCTGCTAGGATGAAGAGGAGGTTGGCCTGGGTCTTCCTCTGAACCCCCTCTCCCCTGTTCTACCTCTCGCCTGCTCTGCCCAGTTGGACTTTGCCCTTCCCCAGCCTCCTCCACAGCCAACAGAGCCACTCTCCCACTCCCTGTCAGCTGTTCATCTTCCTCCTCAGATTCAGACTCCGACAGGGGACATGACAGTATCTTAGACATACATCAGTTTTCATGGGTTTGTGGGCAGCATACAAGGAATGTACCTGGAGAGATCATTTGTGGGGTAATAGTGAATCCTCCTATCCTGAGGAAAACTATATGAAAACGGGTGGCCTTGGGTGACATACTACGCAGGCAGTCCTCGACTTACAACAGTTCATTGACTAGCTGTCCAAAGTTATAACGGCAATGAAAAAGGTGGAAAGGATTAACCAGTGACAGCACCATTGCCCTGGGGACACCCAAGCCTTACATGTCCCCAGCTGAAGGAAAGGACGGGCACATAAAGATTCTATGGAGAGAAGTGAGTTTATTTTAGATGCCTTAGAACCAGGGCTGGGCTGCTATGGGTAGCCCAGCACAATACTGTGAGCACAATGGCTGCAAAGCAAGAAATCCAGCAGGGCAAGTCAAGGAGCCCAGGAAGCAAAGGAACAAGGCAATTAATCCAGGAAACCAGAAAGAAAGTGAGAAATCCAGGAAAGTTCAAACGTCGCCAACGGCACTCGACACTCCCTGAATTCAGCATTTGTTCCCAACAGATGCCCCCTCCTCACAGCATCTCCTTAAGTCTCAATCCCCAGGTGTGCCTTGTAAAGAGGGGCGGGGTGGTCTCCTCCCGAGTAGCTGGGTTAGTCTGCACTGTTCTCGCCTTCTCTCCACTCTCTGTGCTCAGGGATCAGGAGGGGATGGTCCTTGCTTATCGCCTGAGCCAGTGGTGGGATTCAAAAAAAATTATTACCAGTTTTGTGGGCGTGGCTTGGCTTGATGGATGTGGCTTGGTGGTCATGGCAGGGGAAGGATACTGCAAAATCCACATTCACTCCCCACCCCACTAACCTACTTTCCAGCTCCGTTCTCCTGTGCAGGGCAACAAAAGAAGACCCAGACAATCAGCTGGGACTTGGGAGGCAGAGAATAGATGGGGGTGGCAGGGCCAGTCAGGGGTGGGATTTGCTGCATCTCCAAACTACTCAAGATTTCCGCTACCGGTTCTCCAGAACTGGTCAGAACCAGCTAAAGACCACCTTTGGCCTGAGCTCTGTCTCTCATGTTCACTGCTGAGCCTCTCTTGGTCATCCTGTCCGTGTTCCCCCCTGTCTACAAGCTGTCCAAACCCTGAAAGGCCCTGGCCTGACTTGGCTGTCAGCTCTAGCTCTGGCTCGCCCTCCTCCACAGTTTCAAGCTCCAACAGGATCATGGCACTTCTAGTAAATGGTTAGCGAGCTTCTCATTCATTGTTTGGATCTTTCTCTAGGCAAAAATCGCTCCTCCGTGGATTTAGCTCCAGCCCAGAATTCTCCAAAATGCTATTTCGAGCTCAGTTATGGATGTTTTGTCTTGTCTTGACTCCATCCCTTTAGGGCCTGTAAAACAAAGGTGTGAGTAGCACAAATAAAATGTGGTGCAGCAGGACGTCTCTACTTCTCATCTTCTCAGGCTGGCTGGTGAGGTTGAAATACTCTCCTTTGAACTAAACCCTGTTTTACATCTTCACCCAAATTTTGACAGGTTGCATCCTTGTAGTGAAAGGGTTGTATTTTTTTTTTTCAAGAAAAGGTAGTTACGTTGGTGAGAGATAAGTAGTAGATAGCAGAAGGGTCTAAAAGAAGCTCAGGGAAGTTCGAATTCAGTGTTAAGATTCTTCAGATTAAAATGAGACCACGAAGAATATTGTGCAGCTTTATTGCTGCTGTCAAGGAGGATTTGTTTTTTTTTAAAGTAGGATGGCTTCCCACATACTTGTTACGAGCAGAAGCAAACCTACAGAATAACAGAGTTGGAAGGGACCCTGGAGGTCTTCTAGTCCAATCCCCTGCCCCTACACCATTTCAGACAAATGGTTATTCAATCTCTTCTTAAAAACCTCCAGTGTTGGAGCATTTGCGACTTCTGGAGGCAAGTTCTTCCACTGATTAATTGTTCTCACTGTCAAGAAATTTCTCCTTAGGAAAATGCCATGCGGAATCTGACTTAAAAAGTATATATGTAATGTAGTTGTTAGGAGATTATTGTTATTAATTTTTAGGTGATAATTAAAGTTAAATGATTATTGGGATTTAAAGGAGGATTAATTAAATGATATATAAGCCATAGGGGTGATACATTCTAATTGGTAATTGTGGGGGGATTTTTTTTCTTTTTTGAAATGTTTGAATTGAGTTGGGATTTTTGAAATGATGAAATAAGAATATGCGATGAAATTGCAAACCTGACAGACAAAAATATAAAGTACATGGAATCTGAAGATATGAGAGTTATTTAAAGTCGAAGGAAATAGGTTTAAAAAATGAATTGAAAATGGATAAAATAAGCTGGAGAAAAGTATTTGAGAAAAATGATAGCAAATATGTAAGGTAACGATAAGATATGAAATTAAATGTGAAAGATGGGTATGTAATCAAAATCATGTTTATATGTAAACGGGATAACCTGGAATTATGCTGTTCACCTAAAAAGATGTTTTTAAAATGTGGAAAACTGAAATAAAATTTTATTTAAAAAAAACTTCTCCTTAGTTCCAGGTTGCTTCTCTCCTTGATTAGTTTCCATCCGTTGCTTCTTGTCTTGCCTTCAGGTGCTTTGGAGAATAGCTTGACTCCCTCTTCTTTGGGGCAGCCCCTCAAATATTGGAAGACTGCAATAATTTTGCCCTTCTTCTCTTTAACAGATTAACAAAGTTGGAAGAGACCTTTGAGATCATCTAGTCCACACACACACCCCACCCAAGCAGGAGACAGCATTTCTGACAGGGGCAGTCCAGTCTCTTCTGGAAAGCTTCCAGGGATGAAACTCACACAACTTCCGAAGGCAACTTCTGTTCCATGGATTGATGGCTCTCAATGTCAGAAAATTCCTCCTTATTTCCAGGTTGAATCTCTCCTTGTTCAGTTTCCATCCATTGTTCCTTGTCTGGCCTTTGGGTGCCTTGGAGAATAGTTTGACCCCCTCCTCTCTGTGGCAGCCCCTCAAGTATTGGAAGATGCTATCCTATCTCCCCTGGTCCTTCTCTTCCCTAGACTAGACTAGATTGGCTTCCCTCCAGAAGTTGTGGGTGTTCCATCACTGGAGGTTTTGAAGAAAAGATTGGAAAGCCATTTGTCTGAAATGGTTTCCTGCTTCAGCAAGGGGTTGGACTAGAAGATCTCCAAGGTCCCTCCCAACTCATTCTCAAAAAACAAAGAACACCAATATCCCTCTTTATTAGCAGAGATTGAACGGAGCTATGAAGAAGAAATATTAGTATGAGGGACCTGCCTGTCTAGTTTATCCAGAAACGTCCCTCTTAACTACAAATCCAGGGATCGTATCGTGATTTATTTGTCCCAACATGCTTGACTGGAAGAATCTTAGTGTAGATTCAGAAATATCCCTGTGTCAATACTGTGTTTCCCTGAAAATAAGACCCTGTCTTATATTTTTTTATTCCACCAAAAAAGGCATCAGGTCTTATTTTTGGGGAATGCCATTCACTGACTAACCTCACTTGCGTGCGTCGCTCCCAGCCTCCTTTTCACTGTCAGAGGCCTTCAGGAACTTCTTCTTCTGTGGCCGGCAAGGGTTTCCTGAAGGCCTCTGCAGCCAATAACAGAGCTCTGGATCGATCCTGGGCTTTGTTATCAATCTACAGAGGCCTTCAGGAAAGCCTTACCAGCCTTGCTGGCTGCAGAAGAAATGGGCTGGCAAGGCAGGTGTCGGGGTGTGCGATGCTTGGCTACAACTGTCCAAAGGTAAGTAGTAGGGTAGCTCCACCCCCTTCATCCCCACCCTAGCTTAATTTTTACCCATCCACTCTGTAATGGGCGGGGTCTTAATTAGGGCTTATTTTGGGGGGTAGGGCTTATATTGGGTGCACATGTAAAAAAAATCAAGCTAGGTCTTCCTTTGGGGTAGGTCATATTTTCAGGGAAACCGGGTATTTGTCGGTCTGAGTTTCAAGCCCTGAATTGGAAGCTGAGACTGTAACATTTTCGGTGAGATTCCCAGTCGGAGTAATTTG